CACTGCTAACAAACATTACACAATAAGGTCTGCTGTGATTAGGCAGTACATAGTTCCAAATGGGTTACACATAAACCATATTGCTTAGAGTTTTGAATGCATTCATTGCTTTAATTCCATAAGCATTTATTGAACACTTTACTAGGCATCGAAGGGAATGTAATAATAAGAGCTTCCATTTATTAATTTCCTCCTGTATACTAAGCACTTGGCATCTGCTTTTTTTCAACCTTACTTCTATAACACCAGGATGATATCTCCATTTTAGAAGTGAAAAAATTGAGAAAAGTGAGGAAACTGAAGGTCAAATAGATTAGGTGATAACCTATGGACATGTTTGTGAGGCTTCTACACTATGCCACTGTGGAGAGAGACTGGGTCCCCAAATAGACATACTTCCCTGTAAATGGAAATAAAATTTAGTGTGAACATGAACCCTGAGAAATGTTATGGAAACTGAGAAGGGAGAGGAGAATATTTCTCAGGCTTGGTCTATAACTAAAGGCTTAAGGAAGAAAGAAGATAGAGCATAAGAGAGTAAGACTCAATGGTTTTGTATGTTGCCCTAAGGAATGTTTTCTAAAATTCCATTTTATAGATTTATGTGCCTTATGAAATCCTGTTTGGAAGAACAGGGTATACAACTAAAGAAACCAATTAGATATCGTCAGTATTGACATTCATGAAGTTGAAGCACATACACTTGTTTTTATGAATGTCATAATCTACATTACATAACTTGTCTGTAAATTAATGATATTAGAATTCTTCAGGTAGCTTGCAAATCTCATGCCAGTACCGAGGTTAAATCACAGTCCAGCTGTACATTTTTCAGAAGCCTTTCTAATGTTGCTTTGTCTCAGGACATCTTCAAAGAAATGAAAAAAAGATTGTAGTTGATGGAATCCTGTGAGGACAGTACTACAGAAACAACTATGTTTTTAAAAGAAACATCCCTCAAGGCCACATTTAACTGCAGTTTCTGATGAAATAGAACCATAAATTTAAACAGAAAAAAATATGTAGTTACTGTTATTTGTAGTGCTGGCAAAAACAAAATCGTAGATTTGTGCATAATTGAGGAAAAGATGTCAATGAATAGAGTTCTTCCTAAGGAAAGTTAAAAACTAGAAGCAAAGCTTTAATTTAACTTTTCGACATCCATTGATTTTTCTTTTACTTCTTTGTTTCCTCTAAGACATCAACTATGTGATATGTTGAAAATGAACTCCCAACACTTTGTTAAATGACAGAAATGTTCCTGAACTATATGTAATGTTTTCATCTTTTCTGCCTCTAGGGGGGAGTGTGTATTCAACAATTCTGTCCTCAGAAGGTATGTTATTGTGGGCCACAGGCTTCACAGGGGTTTTCATTAAGGTGACTTCAGGGCTGGCTCTACAAGGGAGAAGAAGCCCTTTGAAAATCTGGATGAGCTCCTCTTACTTTAGAGGTTGCAGCCAAACTTCTGAGGGAGAAGGGTTATAGGGACTGTTAACGATCAGTGGAGAAAACTTCCTTCTGATATAGCATTTCAAGGACTCACATGTTGGGTTTCCTAGGTAGTGCTATTTTTCCTGGTAGCAGAGAAATAACATATGGACAGTAGTTTCACTTCATAGAGCTAGAAAACAAACAGTTGAGTACTTTATAGAAAACTTGCCACCTTATTTTAGTAGCTTAAAGTTAAAGAAAAAAAACCCCACATGGTTTGTGGATATTGATGAAAACATTTCTAAATCCTATAGAAAGTCTATTAGTTTCAGTAATACCACATTTAGAGCAAACAATGTCTTTCCTTCAATTGGCTAATTTTATTTTATTTTGCAGCATTTTCCCATAACTTTCCTTTGTTTTAATTCAACAATTGGAGCCAGAAAGGATGCACTCAGGAAAAAGGTTAACATTGTTTTGAATGTTAAAAAAGTGCTTCCTTTTTTCTCCATTTCAGTGTTTTACAGAATTGAAAGGACTAATATTTAAAAATTGAGTCAAAGAGATGAATTGTTTCTACTTTCTGACTTCTTTTTCTTTTGGTTCATTTTTTTGATTAAAGTGCTGCCAAAGTTCTATTATAAAATATGTCTGATGTTACTTTCAGATTTACTGTGCTGTAATAGCCTCAAAACTTAGCTATATGGAAAATAAAATTTGGATATAAAGAATGTTATTACTTAACGTGGGAGTTAGCTTGCAAATCTCATGCCAGCACCCAGGTTAAATCACAGTCCAGCTATACATTTTTCAGAAATCTTTCTAATGTTGCTTTTTCTCAGAACATCTTCAAAGAAGATGGTGTCACAGGTAGTACATGGTTTATTTCTAATCCAATCCCGTTTAAAAATATTGTCAGGTGATGAAAAGGTATTTAAGTATGTCATTTACAGTTCTGGGGCCTTAATTCATTGACAGAGTAAGGGGTGTCAGGATGGTTGACTACTTAAGTTTTTTCTGTCCCTAAGATTTAGAATTTCATGACATTTACACAAACTTTCAGCTGGTTTTAAAAAAAAAATTGACTTAAAGTAACATTAAAATCCGTATACTTATATTACTTGATGGGTTTTCTTATAATCTTGTGCCTGTTTTCATTTGAAAAACTTCCTTTAAAATCCTAATTTCTGCTCATTGGCATTTTCAAGGGTGTTTTGAGCAGCAGCAAGAGCAGCAAAACTGGCTTTTCTCCTGCTGCTGTCTGTAGGTTGGGACTCTCCCCTTCTGCAGCTTCCTCTTGTCACTGCTCATTAGTAACAAGCTGGAAGGTGAGAGCTACTACCCAAAGGCCGCGGAGAGACTTGGGATCGGTGCTCACTCTAGCGTGAGGGCATTGCTGTGCTGCTGCCCGCCCCCGCCCCACGCTGGGCCAGGCCGAGCAGTGCTGGAACAGGAGAGGCGTTCACGCCCGGGGCCACCGAGACCCCAGGCTTTCCGAATAAGCCCACGCCACACACTGCAGAATCACACCGCCACTGGCCGGTGTTCCACAGACACAGAGAGCACACCGCGGAGTAACTGGAAACCCGGATTCCTTCATGTCTCCTGGCAACCAGTTTTGAAATCCAATAAGACCATGGAATTTGGGATTTGGCCGTTGTTTTGGTTGTTTTGCTATTGTTATTATTATCATTTTTAAAAAATCTATGATTCCATAAATGCCTACCCTCCTCCGAGGAGTTCAGGAAGGATTTAATTGGCCTGAAGCGCTAAATCTCAATTTCCAGTGTGAGTGGATTATCCTGTTTGTGGAGTTAAATTTTCTATTGATGCCTCTTTTGCTACTGGTTAGTAGCTCTAATTAAATAAGTGAAAGTTCTCGCAGGAGTTAGAAGCTCCTACTTACAGTGAAGATTTAGGGATCACAGTGCGTAATTTGAAATCTAAATGACCCCGAGCAAGACACGTCGCCTAGGATTACATGTGCTGCGCCAGAAAGAGCGGTGGGGCGGGCGCTGGTGCCTGAAGTCGCCACATCCAAACCTCAGTGTGCCTTTTCACCGGCACAAATGAGAGCCGGGGCGCTTTAGGGCCTCCGAGTGAAAAGTGCAGCAGCGCCTGGGGCTGTGGCGCCCGGATTCAGAGTCGGGTGCAAGTTTCTGCCGAAAGAGGGCGTTGGTCTAAGACTGATAGAAATTTGTGGGCACGGACGCCCTTGTCAAATGAAAGACCATTTAAAAACATTTTCAATTTATTTGAATTTGCGGGACTTAAGTGTCAGAATCCTCCCGTCCAAGGTAGCACGTTCACGTTGTAAATGACTTCGGTGTGATACTACACGCGGAGGGTCCAGGCTGACCCCGCCCCGCCGCGCGGTGGACCCCGGCGATGCTCGTGTGGCCAGGCACCTCTCCACGGCCGTTTGCATCTGTCTCCGTCGCTGTTGCGGCTGTGACCCGTAGTAGGACTGGGTCTCCGAGGCAGGACCTTTCACCGCGTGGCAGAACTCCGAGCACGGTGCCTCGAGCGCTGCCGAGGAGACGCGAGCACTCAGGTTGGAGGGGAGCGCGCGTCCGGACACAGGAGACCCTCCCGGGAACGTTTTGGGGACACAGTCCATTTATTTAGTTACCTGGTTTAGCAAACAAAGCCCCAAGGACACCTTAGGGATGCTTTCCAAGCTTTGTGACACCTCCAGAAGCTGAACCGTTCACTCGCCCCTGGGAGCAACAAGTTTCGCTTTCCTGCTCTCTGCGCGCGAGCGGAGGGTGTGCGCGCGGGGACATGGTGACCCCGGCCCCACTGCTACTCCAGCGCGAACCCGCGTGTCCCAGAGGGAGGGAGCCGGCGCGGGGCGGAGGAAGGAGGGGTGTGGGTAACGCCCCGGCCAGCTGGGCATACCAGGTCCGCGGTGAAACTGCATTGGGACTTTGGTCCTCGTTCCCTGACCTTGCGCCGGGGGGACTGGGAAGGTCAGGTGCTGGTCGCGAGTCGGCGCGTCAGAAGGGAATGTGGCCAAGAGCGAGAAAGAGGTGAGAGCTAGCGAGACCTACGGATTTTTGCTTCGAAACGACAATTTCTAGAACCAACCCCTTCCCCCAATCCTGTTGTTTATTGCACGGTGTGTGTGTGAGTGTGTGTGCGTGCGTGTGTGTGCGCGCGCGTGCACATGTCTTTACTTGCAGATACATTTCCTTTCTTTAAAGCCCGGAGCTGGAGAGAGCGTGGCCAGGGACAGGCGGGGATCGCAGAAGCGCGCGGCTCGCTGGGGGTTCCAGCCGGTGCAGACTTGGGCGGTTGCGGCTTTAAGGAAAAGGCAGAGGGCCCGAGGGGAGTAGGGATTAGGGACAGGGGAGCGGTGGGCATATAAGGGGTGCGGGGAGGAGCCCTGATGTAAGAATGTTTATGAGAGGCTCCCCCAGCCCAGCCCCCACCTCTCCCCACCCCCACCCACCCCACCCGCTGGAAATACAAGTCCGGCCTCGGCGCGCCATGTGTGGTAACCGGCTCCGCCGCTGCCACGCTATTTAAACGCGGGCTATGGATCCAGGAACCGGCGCGAATCAATGAGATCAAACGCGACAGAGATGCACCGTCAATTACAAGCACTTGGACAAGTCTAACTTTTTTTTTCTTTTACAAATACGCTTTCAAAAGCAACGTTAGCAACGCCCAAATGAGAAGCCACCTTTAAGCAAAACAGTATATGTATAAAGGGAGGGCAATTTATAATAGTATATATATGCATATTACAGACGCACAGGTTTACACCCAGTGAACTTTTTCTTTTCTTTTTTTTAAACTAGTGACATTGCAGAGAAGGACTCTTCCTCTCTATCTTTTGGCGCGTTAGTGAAGGGGGTATTCTATTTTCTTAAAGCGCCCAAGGGGGCGCAGGGACTTCGGAGAGAAGAGTGGGGAGGAAAGAGGAAGGGTGGGTGGGGGGCAGAGGGTGAGTCGGCGGCGAGGGAAAGAGCTTTCTTGAGGCACGATGCAGTCCCTGCTGGTGCTCACTTTCTCCGCGTGCGTCCTGCTCGGCTGGGCGTTGTTGGCCGGCAGCACGGGTGGCGGTGGCGGTGGCGGTGGCGGTGGCGGCGGCGGCGGGGGCGCGGGCCCAGGCGGCGGGCGCTGGGAAAGAGAGGCGCTGCCGCCGCAGAAGATCGAGGTGCTGGTGCTGTTGCCCCAGGATGACTCGTACTTGTTCTCCCTGGCCCGGGTGCGTCCGGCCATCGAGTACGCTCTCCGCAGCGTGGAGGGCAACGGGACAGGGAGGCGACTTCTGCCGCCGGGCACTCACTTCCAGGTGGCTTACGAGGACTCGGACTGCGGCAACCGTGCGCTCTTCAACTTGGTGGACCGCGTGGCTGCGGCGCGGGGCGCCAAGCCCGACCTCATCCTGGGACCTGTGTGCGAGTACGCGGCAGCGCCCGTGGCCCGACTTGCTTCGCACTGGGACCTGCCCATGCTGTCAGCCGGGGCACTGGCCGCCGGCTTCCAGCAGAAGGACACTGAGTACTCGCATCTCACGCGCGTGGCGCCCGCCTACGCCAAGATGGGCGAGATGATGCTTGCCCTGTTCCGCCACCACCACTGGAGCCGTGCCGCGCTGGTCTACAGCGACGACAAGCTGGAGCGGAACTGCTACTTCACCCTCGAGGGGGTCCACGAGGTCTTCCAGGAGGAGGGTTTACACACGTCCGCCTACAATTTCGACGAGACCAAGGACTTGGACCTGGACGACATCGTGCGCTATATCCAGGCCAGCGAACGAGGTGAGCAGGACCGCGCCCCGGGCCCCAGGCCCTAACCCAACCGCTCTCTGCGGCTCTCCCTACACACCCGTCCACGCCTCTGCGAACCCCACTGCCCCCTAGTGCGCCGAGGACCTGGGAAGGCACGCTCGTTCACCTGTGCGTTGTTTAGCTGCGACGACCTTTGATGATCGCCCATCTCTGGCAAGGGCTGTACGTAGATGGTCCCAGGGAGGCGCAGGGGTCTGGGGAAAATCTGAGTCCGCCGTTCCTGTGTGCCCAGGTCCGACAGGTGCTGTAAAAACCATCTAGGTTTTTTCTTCCTCCTTTCCACTAAGCGGGCACCGGACGGTGATTAGGGGGCGCACTCCCAGGGCCCTGCTCCAACTAGGGTCTGTCTGAAGCACGTGGAGGCCCAAAGAACTTGTTACCGAGTCCTATGCTGTCCTGCACCCCCCCTTAGTGCGGTGGCGACGCTCTGCAGCAGTGCGCCGCCACTTGGCTCACTAAGTCTCCGGGTTTCCCTGACTGCTCTTTCCACAGACCCCAGGTTTCTTTTAAAGGCTCACTGTGCCACTGTTCTCATTCCTTCCATGGCCCCTCCAGCCCCTTATAAACGAGCTTCTGTGGTTTCCATCCGAAATACCTCTCTGTACGTGGACACAGGCGACATTCACTTCCTTGTCGCTCTGGGCATCGCAGTCTCTAAAGCGCCCAGAGCTAGGCTTTGCGGGAGCGCGTTCTGGAGACTTGGGCGATGAACCTCCTTTCCACCTGTCTCCCCCACCCCACCCCCGCCCATCCCCAAGTTTTCTCCCCGGGTCTCTGGGAGTTTGAAATAATACCCCAACTGGACAAAGAGCGCGAGGCTGGGGGTGGCTGCTATGGCTACGGGGAGCGGGTGGTCGCGGATACGTAATCGCGGAACCCCCCAGTGCGGCGGGGGAGACCGCGGGGTGGCGGGTTGAGTTTCCAGCGCAGCGCGGTTCCCTCCTCCCTCGCGTCGCTCCTGCGGTGCACAGCGCTCAGGGATCCCGCCTCTGCTCCCCCTGGGCGCGCACGCACTTGGGAAGTGCAATCCCCGCAAAGCTCCCGGCAACCCCAGAGCCAGGCGGCTGAGACCGAAGGGGAGCGGGGCTCGTCCACAACTTGGCATGACCGGGCACCAGGGCGCCGGCTGTGAGGGGCAGCGCAAACGGAGGCGGGGGGGTTGGGTGGGAGGCTCAGGAAAAGGTGAGAGTGGGCAGAGAAGCCATCGAGGGTGGCGCTGCAGCCACCCCCTTTTCCCAGCATGGCCACTTCGGACTTGAGTGAACGCACCCTTTAGAGCGAAGAGGCAGGAGCTGGTGACAGTGGGGACGCATGACCAAGTTTTGAGCGCCCGAACTCCGGGTTGTCTGAACCGAATCCCCGCCGGCCAAGCAGACGGGGCGCGGTCTTTGGTGATTATGAAAAAGGGCATTAGTGTCCACCGGCTGCTGACGTGCCCGCTCGAGGAACCCACATCCACTTTTCTCCCCACTCCCAGTTCCCATGTTAGCGCAGCCTCCTGAAGACCTCGGGCTGCTCTTGCCTCTGGAACATTTTTTTTCAGCTCTCGGCTTTGGAGGGCCGGGAGCTAGAAGTCGGAGACTTCCCAGGGCCCGCTGGGTGTGGGGGTGTGTCCCCCTGCGGGCGAGATCCGCAATTGGCGAACGCTTCTGTGCTGCCACAGCCCTGTAGGTGCCAGTGTTGCCGGTGGCCACAGTGCACGTGGCCTGGGATATCAGGCCCAGGGCATCCGTCCGCTCAGATGAGGGGGGCAGGCGCGGGGTGGGGCCCCCCTGAGCCCCACACTGGTGGCTGGGGCCTGGGGGCAGGAAGGGCGGCAGTGCTCTAGAGGGACTTGGGGACGCGCTGCTCCTCGGGGCTTCAGAGGACTTGGGCTGCAGTCTGCCACGGCTGGTTGTCACTTTGATTCCAAAAGCGTCGTAGAAGTTCCCACTTCTCTTTGCGCTTTTTTCTTTCTTCCGAGTTCGAATTTAGTGGTGAAACTTTGCTGGGCTGACCTGTATATTTTACAGGTGATAAGTTTACTGTTTTATGATTCTTACTCTAAAACGTATTTCCAACAGTGACTTGGCAGATACTCAGAAATATGAAACAAAATAGTTTCTCCTCTAAGCTGTCCCTCCCCCTCTCCCCTCTGAAATTCCTTACTCTCAGGAGAGAGAGTTGCTTGATAACAAAGCTTTCTTGGGGGATCTTTTACAAACACATTGAGTCCTGCTGCTTCACTATAAGCAGTTAATGTAAATAGGGGTTTAGGATATGGTTTCCGTGGGATTTGGGGCTCAGCCACTCACTGGCTGGGGGCTCTTGGACTGCTATTAAATCTCCAAACTTCAGGTCTCTCAGGTAAAATGGGGTAATGGAACACCCACAACTTTGGGAAGCTGGGAGGGTTAAAAGAGCTAACTCAGGAATGCACTGAAACAGTGCCGGGTGTATACTAAGTGCTCAATAAATGTGCTCTTTTATTATAGTTGTTATAATTATTTTACCTATGTGATGATAATCACCTTTACCCAGAAGGTGAGGCCATGCCATGGGGAAGAACCCTGGGCTGAGAAGCAGATGCTTCTGGATTTGGCATCTCTACTTGGCATCTATGTTTTCTTCTCTGTGAAACAAGTAGAGTGGGCATCAGGCCTCTCAAAACTGATATTTGGTGGTCCTAATTTGCACCCACCTAAGTGTAAAAATGCAACTGACAGTATTTTTATAGCCTCTGAAAATTCCATAGTAACCATCAGGTACTAAAGTAGAAAGAGACCCCATTTTTTTGGTGAGAATATTTTTAGCACTTATTTTGAGGTTAAATTTCTCTTTAAAACCAGATTGCAAACGTTTGAATTTCTTAACAGGTAAAAACTGGCAATCCCACCATCTCAAATAATAACATGACTAAAATTTCATTTGGCTATGTGCTGTACTGCAGAAAGGAAAACTAATAGACATTAACTGTTCTTTCATTTTAGGGATTTTCCATCAAAGTCAATAATTTAAAAACATCTTTTTCTGTCACATCTTTAGCTAATATCACTGAAATGCACATAGCTGAGTATATATTATTTTAAAAAAATAATGATCTTTGTTTAAAATGGATTCACTTATACAGCCTACTACTGCCCTCAATATTCCACTTTTCACAATAAATTCATTTTTACAAAGACAGGTTTAGAAAGAAAGAATTTTTTCAAGCAACAAAAGCCAGTAGCTATTTTCTCTATACACCCTATATGATGTAGACCTAGAAGTATTCCACACACAAATGTTTTTGTAAGAACTGTAGTTTTATCCTTTTAGTCATATATGTCATTAAACCAGGCCTCCATAATAACTATAAAGACAACAGTAGTTAATCAATACAAGAGTCATTTATTTTTAGAATTAGTCTGGGGTGAATGACTGAGCATTCAAGCAGAATTTTTAAGCAAAAAGTACATGTTAAATGTGAAATAACTAACACACAGCAGGGGGAAAAGAAGCCTTCTCGGCTGCAGTGTAGAAATTCTAAAGGCCTTTGGAGGAGATAGAGCTTTGTGAACAACAAAAATAAAGGTACAGTCTCTGTTTTGCAAATGATATCCATTGCTGTGTAGTGTAGAAATAGCCAGAGAGAAACCTTTTTAGAGAAAAATTAGATTTTATTTTTACCAAAGTCAGTTATACAATAACATAGTTTAAAATCATAAAATTACACATCTTAGTGGGGAAAAAAAGTTTCCTGTTTCCTACTCTCCATTTCTTACTTTCCAGAGGCAACCACTTTCAACTCTTGTAGCTGTTCCTGCAGGTAATGCCTTTATATCTCTGAATAACTTGCTATAATAATTTTGATTTTTATTTTTCAGTTTTAGGTCTTATCTCTTGGTATCCCAGTGGAAGATGATGTTCAGTTCTCTTCTACTGCCCGTTAATCACACATGCAAGTTTTCCTTCCAGTCATTCTTCCAATATGGTTGTGTTCAGACTTTTCTGGGGAGGATGAGGCAGGAGGATTACTTGAATCCAGGACTTTGAGGTTGTAGGTTGTACCTGTGAATAGCCACTGCACTCCAGTCTGGACAACACAGTGAGATCCCATTCCTTAAATTTTTTTTTAGTTTTTGGTATTTGGTATTGATTGATTATTAGTATTTGGTATTGATATGATTATTACCTTCTAAATGATATTTGCAGTTGAGCTGTATAGAGGACTATTCTGGCATTTCCTTTCTTGCCCTTCTTGCTTTCCTTAGGATTAAAAAGAACAATGTTTTTGTTAATTTGCTTAGTTTCCTATGGAGTTGTAAATAAATCATCTTCTAATTCTCCATGTTAAGCCTCCTGAGCTATTTTCAGTTTATTTTCCAGGCACACTGCATATTGACACTTTGGGTTCTTTCTTTTGTACCTTACTGGGACTCTCATTGCCTCCCTGTTGAGCTGATTGTATGTTCCTCTTTCTTGATTATACTCTTGTTTTGGTGGAGCACATCCTCCAGAAGCTTTCTGAGGAAAGATAGATGAGATCTACATTTTGAGACCTTTTGTGACTGAAAAATTTTCTATCCTACCCTTATACATAACTACAGAATTCTGTGTACGTGCTTTTCTCTCAAAATTTGACAGTATTGCTCCATTGTCTTCTAAATTCTAGTGTTGTTATTAGGAACCTTGACTTGATTCGGATTTTGGACTTATTGTTTATTATTTTGTTTTTCCTGGAAATTTTTAGAATCTTCTCTTTGCTCTTAGTGTTTTAACATTTCATTATAATGTGCTTTGATGCCAGTATTTTGCCTTGCATACTCGATAGGGCCTGCCTATCCAGAACCTCATGTTTTTTTAAATTCTGGGAACATTTCTTAAAGTATTTTTTTGATAATGTTATCTCCCTTTTTTTGGTTTTTCTCTTTCTAGATTTTTTTCCTTTCTTTCTTTCTTTCTTTCTTTCTTTCTTTCTTTCTTTCTTTCTTTCTTTCTTTCTTTCTTTCTTTCTTTTCTTTCTTTCTCAGAGTCTTATTCTGTTGCCTTGGCTACAGTGCGGTGGCGTCAGCCTAGCTCACAGCAACCTCAAACTCCTGGGCTAAGCGATCCTCCTGCCTTAGCCTCCTGAGTAGCTGGGACTACAGGCATGAGCCACCATGCCTGGCTACTTTTTTCTATATATTTTTGGTTGTCCAGCTAATTTCTTTCTATTTTTAGTAGAGACAGTGTCTCGCTCTTGCTCAGGCTGGTCTCAAACTCCTGAGCTCAAACGATCAACCCACCTTGGCCTCCTAGAGTGCTAGGATTACAGGGGTGAGCCACCACACCCGGCCTAGATTTTTTTCTTATTTGGATGTTAGACCTCCTGGATTGATTATCTATTTTTCTTATCTTGCTCCTATTTACTACCTGCCTTTTTTTTTTTTTTAATTCCTTTTGCTTGGATATTCCTTTGACACTTCTAAAATTCCTATTGAGTTTTCCATTTCTGTTATCATATTTTCAGTTTGCAGGACATGGCACACCTAACTTTTCTTCCATGCAGTAACATTCATCTTTCCCTTCTAAGTTTAGGATTACAGGGAAGATGGGTTAGGAGTCAGATGGTGAATATGAAAAAATCATTTTTATTATTGATAAAACCAGTTGGAGAACATGGATTTAGATCTGTTGCCAAAAGAGCCTGCTTGCTATTAGTTCCTCTTAGAATTAGCAGGGGCATGCAGTAAATCCCCCTCTAGGAATCAGCCCTTTACTTGATGACAAAAGTAGCCCAATAGTGTGCTCTCTGCAAGCAGACACATCTCAAAGAGGAAGGAAGAAAGGACTGAGTCTAGCATGCCCAGTTTTAGGCTCAACAATCAGACAGTTCACTTCTTTTTTATTTTTTGAGGGTGCAGAGAGGATAAACAAAGGCACATTGAGAGATGAGGAATATTAACCCATTAGAGGTTGCTCCATATGGAAAACTGGGGAAAGGATATCAGCCCCAACTTAGGTATACTATCTGGAATGTTTTTGGTTCTCTGAATTGACTTTTCCAGCCACCCCTTTGCATTTCTCTCTGTTGTTCTTAGAGTGATTGCAAGAATGTCCTGCATTAGTGAGAAGCCATTTACAGAAGTGGTTGCAGGGACCAGATGGTGGAGGATGGCATGGAACATTGCAAGTTCTTTGGCAAGAAGGAGAAAATAGAGCAGGATGAAGAAAAGTCTGTCCAGAAAGTTAGAGTCACATCATCATGCTGTCTTTTAGAAGTTTAACAATTTGACCAAAAAAATTAATATTTGTGTATTTAAATATGCTTAGATGCAACAGAAATTGCCTTAACTGACCTCCACTTATGCAGGTTGCAGGATTAGCTGATGCTCTCTGTTCCTGTGTAAATTTTATCACGTGATGGTAGGTGCTGGCAGCTAGTATAGTTCTCTTGAGTATGCCACACACTGCTAATACTTCTCTATTTACATTCCATGAGGTGCCCCCAAATCTGTTTATGCCAGTTGTGTTTATTATCACAACTAGTAATTAAATTAGTTATTATGTAAATTGATGAAACATGAGTAGAAGGAGAAAACTACTTTAATGAAAAAATATTTTAAACAATTTGATAGAGTATATAAAGGCAAGATGCTAAAAATACTTGCTATTCAATTAGGCACGAATGAGACATCCCTAAGAGATTGGGGAATATGATAAAAATCTAGGAATCTGCCCTGACTGCTTTGCCAATGTCATCAAGCACTTGCTCCAACTTGAACTAAAACTGGATGATAAATGTGCATTATGGGTTTGGTTTATTCAAGAAAGACAGTGCTCCACCCATGAACTTGGGAATTAGGGTTTCCTTTTGAGACTTAAACTGCATGGTCAACACAAAATGGATAAGATCTAACATAATCAAACTCGGCTTAGATAGGCACAGTGCCAGTCTGCATCACTCTTGCTCCATCTAAGTGGGTATTAACATTTTAAGGAAGAATATGTCCCTTGGAAGGGTTTGATGGTGGTGGTGATGATGGGAAGTGTTTTAGTTCATTTTCTGCTGCTCTAACAGAATACCACAGACTGGGTAATTTATAAAGAAAAGAAGTTTATTTAGCTCGTGGTTCTAGATGCTAGGAAGCCCAAGAGCATGGTGCCAGCATCTAGTGAGGGTCTTCTTGCTGTATCATAACACGGTTGAGGGCATCACATAGTGAGAGGGCAAGGGTGTGCCAGCTCTGGTCTCTTCTTCTTATAAAGCCACCAATTCCATCATGTGGGCCCCACCCTGATGGCCTTATCTAATCTTAATTATCTCCCAAAGGCCCCACCTCCAAATACCACCAACATATGGATTTGAAGATTAACTTTCCAACACATGAAATGTTAGGGGACATGATCAAACCATAGCAGGGAGAAAGAGAAGGAGACAGGGCAGGAATGTAAAAACAGAAAAAATGGTGTCACAGAAGCCAGTGTTGGGCAATGCTTAGAGAAGCTTGTGGTCTGGCTCTAGGACACAGCCTGTTTGGTCCTGGACCAGGTCTATCTCTTAGATGGTTGCTTAGAGTTATCAAGGCCTGGTGCCTTTGACACCTGAATCCTCCAACTGACCTCCCTGATGCTGATTTTATCCTCACTAGCATCCTAATGCTTATAATTTGCCTGTCTAGTTAGCATGCCTGGGTACAGGGCATGCTGATACAAATGTATCCATAGCCATTCTGGTCCTCATTGAATTTAAGTAAACTGCATTTCAGATTATCTGTAAATATCTGAGTTGGGTTATTGGAAATCTGCCCCTAAACTGCTAAGGTATCAAAAAGAGGTTGTGACACTATGCTGTATGTGCTGACAGAATCAGGTTCTGCATCAGGGGGTTGAGAGCCAGACCCTGGAATTTGATCAGTTGATTGAGAAATGATGAGGGCCGCTTGGTGGCTGGTCAGCCAGAGCTTCCTGGAGACACTGGCCCTTGGAATCCACACTCTTCAACCTTGTCCAGCCTCAGCCTGATGTTGGCTGTTTTGTGGGACACCGTGGCTGTTTGTTCATTTATGGGGATAGAATCAAATCAGAGCTAAAACAAGCATGTAAGTCATGATGAATAATTAGGAGTTTCTTTGAAAGCTTCCTTACTGAGGCATCTTGGAATTCGATTATTTATCCTAAATATATAACTGTACTCCAGGCATAAACAACATCTACTCCCATAGTTATGGATGTTTAGGAGTCTTCTTTTAGAAATTTGATCTCTAGAGCTTTCATCCTGTACACCAAGCCCTTTTGCAGTATGCAATGTCAGAGTTATGATCTAACACTCTGAATTAACGTGTATAGTAAACGAAATATCAACAAGAGCTTAACTCTCCATGCAGGTTGCCAAGGCCGCTTTGGCATAGCCTGAAGTTTGTTTTACGTCTTTCAGCACCCATGCTTTTACAAAGAACATACACATCTTGGAGGGCTGGCACGCATCGTGATAATGCGGTTTACAGCACCCAGGTCTCTCCAGGTCTCTCCTCTGCACAGTGTGCATGCAGCAAAACATAGTGGCGCTGGTCACAGAGCCGAGGGGCCATCGACAGGGATCAAATTGACCGGGTAGTGGTTAAGTCCCCACTTCACGCCAGCCCGTGTGGCTCTCATGTGGTAGGCAACAATATTCTGGAGTTGCGTGAAGCCTCTCAGACCCGACCATGTGGTTATATGCTGAGAGAACACGGGGGAGGGACTTGGAATCCTGTTAACTATTTCCTACGTGTATTGGGACAACCTGAGAATAATGCTCTAAGATTCAGACAGCAGAAAGCCCAGAGCCCTCACTGCATCCACTGATTTGCCAAAAGAATCTTCTCTCTAAAACCATTGAGTTTGCTTTTTCAGGAAAATCTATTTACCATGCTATTAAGTAGAAAAAGCAGTTGACACTCTTCCCTGTCTTATACTGGGCAAATCTGGTGATTTATTTGATGTATTTTTTTTTAAAAAAGAACTTTATTTTGAAATAATTTTACACTTCTAAAAAAGATGGAAGAAAGTATTAAATAACCTCTCTGTAGAGCCTTCACTCAGATTTTCACCAAATGTTAATATTTTGCCACATTTGCTTCAGGATTTCAAATCTCCCCCTTTCTTTCTCTTCTCCTCTCCTACCAATCTATCCCGCCATCCATTTATCCACCTATCTACACATACACATACACACAGATAATATTATCTTTTTATGAACCATTTGAGAGTAAGTGCAGAATCATGCTTCTTTACCCCTAAGCATTTAGGTGTGTGTTTCCTAAGAATAAGGACGTTCACTTACATCACCACAGTATAATTATGAAAAGCAAAACCTTTAACGCAAACACAATTCTATTATCTAAGGTACAGCCTTTATTCACATTTCACCAGTTGTCTCCATAAGGTCCTTTATAGCAAGACTTTTTATTTATTTATTTATTTTTTAAGATCCAGAATGCACTCCAGCATCACACACGGCATTTGGTTTTCTGTTCTAAGTCTCTTCCAGAACGTTTCCTAAGCCTGTCTTTGTTTTTCATGAAATCGACCATTTTAGAGAGCATAGGCCAATTATTCTACAGACTGTCCCCCAAGCTGGGTTTGGGGCGGCTTCCTTCCGGTTAGATGCAGGCTGCCCATTTGTGCGTTCTTGATCCTTGGAGTGTTACATCGGGAGGCTCATGACTCTGCATTCCCAAGGTTGGTGATGTTGGCTTCCATCTCTTGGTTATGGTAGTGTCCTCTGCGTTTCTGCACCATAAGTTTACTCTATTCCCCTTTGTAATTAACAAGTAATTTGGTAGGAGATACTTGAGGGCCATGTAAGTGCCCCGTTCCTGGCTAGGTGTCCCCCACTGGCGCAGGTGCGCTTGATGTCCTTGTGAAGGGGTGTCTCACGCGTGCTGTCTGTCTCTCCCCCAGTGGTGATCATGTGTGCGAGCAGCGACACCATCCGGAGCATCATGTTGGCAGCGCACAGGCACGGCATGACCAGCGGGGACTACGCCTTCTTCAACATCGAGCTCTTCAACAGTTCCTCCTACGGTAACTCTGCTTCCAGTTTCCCCTCCTCTGCTGAGGTGTCACAAAGAGGTTGTGAGGAAGATTCAAAACATTTGAATTAAGTCTGTAGATGTGATTTCTGTAAATATGATTTTGGAAATTTGTGATTTTGAACACTCCCACGACTTCTCAGAATCTCTTCAGCTTTTCTTCTCCGACAACTCAATTAGAGGAAACGGATACCATGTACCTGTGATACCAAGGCTCTTGTCTGGGGGTGAGTGTAGCCCCCTCCCACACTCCAAATGATCATAATCCAGGCCCCAAAGTCCCCTTGCCCAGTGCTTTTCCAACTGCAGGTGGCTGTCATCATGATGAACTGTTGGAATAATTTCAGTGAGATTTGGGCAGAATTTTTAGTAGCACGGAATAGAATAGGTCAAGGTGTGTCACACTTAACATGTGTATTGTTTTATAAAACTTTTGTCTTAGTGATATAATTGTATGCTTCTGTGTACATATGAATTCATGTTACACATGTTTGCAATGGATCAGTGTGAAGTCAAAAACTATTACTGTATATTGAGGTAAAAACATTTGGAAGCTATTGCCCCCAGCCCTTTCCTTCCTTCCAGATGACCGCACCTTAAACTTCTCCTATGTACAAATTCAGGAACCACCTATTGGAGGACTGAAAGCATTTAATTCCTTTTTTTTTTTTTTGAGACAGAGTCTCGCTTTGTTGCCCAGGCTAGAGTGAGTGCCCTGGCATCAGCCTAGCTCACAACAACCTCAAACTCCTGGGCTCAAGCAATCCTTCTGCCTCAGCCTCCCGAGTAGCAAGGACTACAGGCATGCGCCAGCATGCCCAGCTAATTTTTTGTATATATATATATATATATTAGTCGGCCAATTAATTTCTTTCTATTTATAGTAGAGACGGGGTCTTGCTCTTGCTCAGGCTGGTTCTGAACTCCTGACCTCGAGCAATCCGCCCGCCTCAGCCTCCCAGAGTGCTAGGATTACAGGCGTGAGCCACCGCACCCGGCCACATTTAATTCCTTATAATGTATCTGGGGAAGTTCCCAGGGTTCCCTTGATGGAGGCTTTTTTTTGGTTACCAGTTTCTCTTATTTCCTTCTAGAGGTTTTCTTTGTATATATAAGCCTTTTAAAAAAAATCCAGTATATTATGGGGGTACAAACATCTTGGTTACATGTAATGCATTTGCCTTGCTCAAGCCAGGGCTACAAGTGTGTCCTTCCCCCATACAGTGCGCTCCGCTTCCAGTTGTGGGTTTAGCACCCCTCTTACCACCCCACTTGACCAGCACTCAATGAGTATTACTACCATGCGAACACCTTAGTGTTGATCAGTTAGTACCAATTTGATGGCAAGTACACGTGGTGCATGTTTTTCCATCTTTGTGGTACCACTTCGAAGGATGGCCTCAATCTCCAGGATAATATAAGAGGTGCTAGATCACCATTGTTTTTTGTAGTTGAGTAGTATTCCATGGTACACATATACCACATTTTATTAACCCACTCATGTATTGATGGGCACTTGGGTTGTTTCCACATCTTTGCAATTGTGAATTGTGGTGCTATAAACATTCGAGTGCAGATGTCTTTATTATAGAATGTCTTTTTTTCCCTTTGGATAGAGATGGAGAGTTTTTAAGGAGGTCATCGTGATCACAGGTAGAAAACATTCCCCCCCCCCATGTGATTAGGGCTCTCTCTGAAGTAGACATGGGAGGGCTACAGAACATTTTCTCAAATGCTGCTTGTTGGCTGCTCAAAGCTGAGCAGTGTTAGGGGAGCCGTAAGTGCGCATATCACAAATGGCATGTTTATACTGAGCTCCACTTCCCAATTCTTGCTGACGGGATATAGTTGGACAGGATCTAAACCTTAAAACATACTCCCCGGTTTCCTGCCCTGATATCCTGGCTTACTTAAGCAGTAGGTCATTGTGTATATACAGATAATAAAACACACTTCTCATGGGGATAAAGAAAAGTTGATGAGACAAAAGTAGCCACTGCTTCCTGTAGTGGATAAAATCAGAGATTTGAGGCTTGCAAGACAAAAACACTATTTACCCTCCTTGTGGGCATAATATTTCTTTTCTCTCTCCTTTACATGGCAGAGTGGAATTTTCACTTCTCAATCCAAGATCAGAATGGACTTATATTAAATATTATTGGCTGCAGTATTGAGTTCATTGAGATTTTGGTAGAAACTGGTGAAAATGAAAAAGATGTGTTCTGAGTTTTGCAAGTTGGCAATCGTAAATATAGAATTTAGAGGCAATGCATATGAATGCACATTATGCATCTAGTACTTAATACAAATGTTAGCTACTAGAATTAGTTTCATCCACAGGTAAAGCTTGTATTATTTTTCCCTGTTAATTATAGTACATGAGTACTGTAGACAATTTGGAAAACATAGAAAAGCACAAGGAAGAAAATAAGTTACAATAATTATGCCACTCAGATAAAAGTATATTGATAATTTTCAGAAGTATGTACATCCTATTTTATACATATATATTTTACAAAAATACTTTTTAAAAAATGACACTATTTACAATATGGCCACATAGTATTTAAAATGTTGATAATGTTATCTTTAATCCATCTCTTATTTTTCAATATTATGCTGTTCCCAGCTTTTGGCTATTAAGAATGATGCTATGTTGAGTAGCCTCACATATTTATGCATATATAATCTGTAAAATAAATTTCTAGAAGCAAAATTGCTGGCTCAAAGGTTGTGTGCATTTAAGTTTCGATAGACATTGTCAAGTTGCCCTGTAGAAAGGTTTACCAATTTTCGCTTTTGCAGCAATGTGTGACATTGTCTGTTTTTCTCTATGCTTGTCAACTCTGCATAGTCTAACGTGTACATTATTTTGTTTGTTTGAATTTCTTTTTATGTTCATAAGCAAAGTTTTGCAGTTTTCTTCATTTACATTCTGTACCATTCTTGTTGAGTTTATTCGTAGGCATTCTATATTTTTTGGTTTTTATTATGATCATCTTTTCCTGTTATATTTTGTAATAGAACAGTAGTTATACAGAAAAGCTAAAAGTTTTTGTTTATTTATTCTGCAAGAATTCCACGCATTAAATCCAGTGCTCTACTAGTTTTTCTATTATTTTCAAATAACATGACAGCTTTTCATCCATTTTGATAGCTGTACATCTTATTAATGTTTCCCATTCTTTTCTTATTGCGTTGGCAAGAGCTTCCAGAATAATATTATTCTGGTGATATTTTAATTTTTGACTTCTTTTCTTGAAGTAGGTATTAAAGTCATTTTATTCCTAGTTTATCAAGTTTGATTTTAAAAATCAGAAATTAATAATGGAATTTTATCAATTGCATTTGACCTTTTAATAAATTTCCCAATATTGGGCCATCAATTCTCAGAATTGAGCATATTTTGTTGTGATGTTTTTTAAAGATATATTGCTGAATTTAGGTTTTTATTGTTTTATTTAGGATTTTGGATCTATATTCATGAGTGAGATTTGAGAATAGTTTTCTTGCCTTGAGATGTTATTGTCAGATTTTAATATCAGGTGCACATTAGCTTTATAGAATTAATTGGGGTATTTTTTGTTGTTTTTCATGCTCTGTAACAGTTTATATACCATAGGAATTCTTTGAAATATGGAAACAATTCAATTTTGTATTTGCAACTAACTTCTTTTTAGAGGTAATTTTTGGACAACTTAAAAAATCTTTTTATTTTGAAATAATTTTAGACTTATAGAAAGCTTATAAAAATAATATAGGTTAAATATCCCTTATCTAAAATTCTTGGGGCTGAAGTGTCTTGAATTTCAGATTGTTTTGGATTTTGGAATATTTGCATATACATAATGAAATACCTTGGGGATGGGACTGAAGTTTAAACATGAAAGTCATTTATATTTCATATACATCTTGTACACATAGCCTGGAGATAATTTTATTTTTTCTGTGGGGATGCTGAATAATCCATGGGTTGTGCATCTGCATTTCAACCCATCACATGAGGTCAGGTGTGCGATTTTCTACTGTGGTGTCATGTTGGTACTCCAAAAGTTTCAGATTTTGGAACATCTTAGATTTCTGATTTTTGGATTAGGGATGCTCAGCCTGTATAGAGACTTCATGCATAGTCATGCATCACTTAACGATGGGGATACATTTTGAGAAATAAGTCGTCAAGTGATTTTATCATTCTGCAAACACCATAGAGTGTACTCACACAAACCTAGATGGTATAGCCTACTGCACACCTAGGCTATATGGTATAACCTATTGCTCCTAGGTTACAAACTTGCACAGCATGTTACTGTACTGAACACTGTAGGCAATTGTAACACAATGTCACGTATTTGAGCATCTAAACATATCTAAACATATAGAAGGTACAGTGAAAATACAGTATTATAATCTTATGAGACTACTGCCATATGTGTGGTTCATTGTTGACTGAAACATCGTTAGGCGATGCATGACTGTGTGTGTTTTACCAAGCTCTAATGTTAACAACTTACATAACCATAGTAAATTTATCAAAACAAGCAAATTAACGTTGGCACATTACTACTAACTAAACGACAGGCCTTGTTGGAAATTTACCACTTTTCCTCAATGTTCTGTTCCAAGATCCAATCCAGGATCCCACACTGCATTGATTCGTTGTGTCTTTCCTTAATCTACTCCAATCTGTGATAACTCTTTAATCTTTCCTTGTCTTTCATGACTTTGACCTTTCCTTGTCTTTCATGACTTTGACACTTTTGATGAATCTCTTATTTTGTAGAATGTTTTTCAATTTGGATTTATTTGGTATTTTCCCATGATAACATTGAGTTTATACGTTTTGGCAAGAATACTGAAAAGGTGATGTTGTGTTCTTCTCAGAGCATGATACTAGTGCATAAGAAGTCATATCTATATGTCTGGATGCAGTGATTCACGCCTGTAATCCTAGCACTTTGGAGACTGAGTCAGGAAGATTGCTTGAGGTCAGGAATATGAGACCAGCCTAAGCAAGAGCGAGACCCCATCTCTACAAAAAATAGCAAATTAGCTGGATATGGTGGCACATACCTGTAGTCCCAGTTGTTGAGGAGGCTGAGGCAGGAGGATCACTTGAGCTCGGGAGTTCAAGGTTGCAGTGAGCTATGATGATGCTACTGCACCCCAGCCAGGGCAAGAGAGTGAGACCCTCTCTCAACAAACAAACAAACAAATAAATAAAAATAAAAAAAGAAGTCACATCTTTATGACTTATTGCTTGGTAATGTTTGGACAACTTTTAAAAACATACTTTCACATGAGTTCAGTGTTTCTACTTCTTGACAATTTAATTGCACATAGTTATACAGAGTGCTCTTATAAAGTACACTTGATGTTTTGATTAGATTCCCTTTGTTTTACATTTTATACCATATTTGCTCAGACTTTGGGGCCTGGTGTTGGTCTGCCTGAGAGGCTGGGCCATGTACTAGCAAAGTGACTTAACCTTCCCTCTTCTCCTTTAGTTTATTCTAATGATAATAACAGTACTTACCTTACGGCATCATGCTGAGGAACAAATGAGGTGATTTATGTAAAATACCCAGCAAACTTCTTGGAATGTAATAACTATTTAATAAGTATTAGCTACATTTATTCTTAGTCTTGGTTTCCTTTGACCATTGTACATAGTACTTAAAAAATTGCAAGTTAAGTTCATGCATTTTTCTGTGATGGTAGTTTTATAGACAGATTTAGGGTCATGCATTCAGTTACCAAATTAGCCAATGTTAATTTAATACATCCTAAGGACCTGTGTGCATTAGGAATCGCATCTGCAGGTACATAACCAAGACACCCAATTGTAGTGATTTAAACAAATGTAGAGGTTTATTCTCCTATCTGAAAGGAGTCCCGGGCAGGGATGGTGGTTCCATAATGTCATCAGGGAATCGAGCTGCTTCTATTTTCCTGTTCTCTTGGTTTTATAGCATGGAGTCCATTGTCAAGATCAAAGATGATGGCTAAAGCTCCAGGGATCATGTCTTAATTCTAGGCAAGTGTGACTGAAGAACTGAATTTTAAATTTTAATTAATGCAAACTTAAACAGTCACACACATGGCCAGTGGCTCCTCCATGAGACAGCACAGCTCTAGAGCACTCAATCATGTTTTCATCCATCTCTTTCTGGTAACCCTATGCTCTTAGCTTTGGTGACACAGCATTCTTCTGGTTCTCTGTTAGCTCTATGGTGTCTCTTCTTACTCCTCCTGCCTGCTAAAAATAGCTTCTCCAAAGTGTCTGTGCTCTACCTTCTCCCTGCTCTTTCTGCACTCTCTTCCTTATCCAGCCAGGGAGTCCCTGGCTTCTAACCCCGAGCTGTCTCGAGCCCTCATTCCTCTTTCTGGCTTCAGACACTATTTCCAGCTCCAGCCTGTGGTGTCTCTTGGACCTTCTGCAGTTGCCTTGGATCGACCATAGCCCTAACTGAAACTATTCCCATGTCCACCTAAACCCCTAAAGTCCTCCTCCTCCATCTGGCTCCGAGATTTCTTCCAATGATAACATGTTTTCCCTTTCCCCTTGGCATCCTCTGTGACATGCCCCCTCTCCATTGTCCCTCACTCCCTACCTGTTGTTGTACAGTCTTGAGATCCTTCCTGTGTAATCCTCTGTGAACAATTTATAAAAGTACTGAATACTTTTTATTGAAAATTTACTATGTTCAGAAAAATGCAAAAAAGGGGGGGGGAGAGAGAGAGAGAGAAAGAGAAAGATAACTTTCTCCTAATTCTAACCACCCAGAGAATCCTTGTTAATTTTTTGGGTGTGTGACTTCCCACATATAACCTCTCGTAACCTCTTGCCTGGATTACCGCGGCTGTGAACACTCAGCGTCTCCCCACCCTAATCCACTGCTGTTTCCCTAGGCCAGATTCTCATCATGTCACTCTTCTGTTCCGCTCATAAATCTCCAGAGGCACCCAGTTGTCTACTGAATTAAATTTGTCCCCACTGACGGGATGTCATGCCAAGCCGATCTCTGCCTTCCTAGTGTTCAACAGCCCCCATATGGGAGATATTATTGACACATCACAATAAGAAATGCCCACAAAAACAGGAAGTCATAGTATCAGTCATGGTTGTGAACAGATATTGAATAGATATTTATTTAGTTTGGCTTAAGAATTTATTTATTAATAATTATTGTTTTCATTTTTTTTTTTTTTTTTTTTTTGGTAGAGATGAGGTCTCGCTCTTGCTCAGGCTGGTCTTGAACTCTGGGCCTTAAGCGATCCTCCTGCCTTGGCCTTTCAGAGTGCTAGGATTATAGGCGTGAGCCACTGCGCCTGGCCCCATTCTTCTCCTCTAGAAAACAAAACTCCAAAGTTATTAGAGAATTTTTTAGACTGTGGTAGATAGACTTACTGTACTGAATTTCACTTCTTTCCAAATTAAAAAAAATGTTTTGCTTATTTCAATGACTGAGATAATTGCTGTTTCTAGTTCTATGTGTATTTTCCAATCCCACAGCATAAAAGGCTAGATGGTTAAGTATTTCCCTTCTTTGCTCCTGGAGAGATCTCTTTGCCAGAGCTTGAGAAAACTCTGACCGTCTTTGCCTAAGAGACATCACCGCTGCTGAGTCTTGATACCTCGAGCAATTAAAAATGAATCAATAAATATCGATTGCCTGCCTATAAGCAATGGGTTCCTCCATGGCATGAAGAGGTCCTGGGCATCCTTAGAATCTGGAGTCCTCCCGGCAATGGAGTTGGCCCTTAACAAAAGCCATGTCGTCTGTGTCTTGGCAACTGAGCACCCAGCTGGGTTCACCTGTCTGGTGGCAGTGCTGGCTCTGCTGGCTCTGCTCGTGCTGTGGCCTCCTCTGTGTCTGGGAGGTTTCATGAGAGAGGAGGAGGACTTTGTTAAGTTTTGTTTAGTGATCTGAAATTTAATCTTGTGCTCACTGAGCTCGGATCCAGTCCTTAATGAATTCTGTCCTCAGCTGCGTCTTATTTATCTTTTACCAGCTCCCTGGCAGATAGTAAGCAATTAATAAATGCTTGCTATTATTAGGATTATGATCGTCCAGATGCCTCCGCAAACACATTCTTTGTCTCTGTCTTTTCTCGGGTTCCAGACTGAGGCTGCCAGCTGCCTGCTGGATGCTGTGCACATTTGCACCCTTGCCCGCGCTGCGTGCTCTGCCAGGCACGGCTTTCCAGCCTCCTGTCCTCCTAGTAAAATCCGATGCACACGCGTAGGACCAGGCTAATGCCTCCTCCTCACCCAGAACCTTCCCCAGGCTGGATCGCATTGCTTCTTCCTCTATATTCTGCACTGTTTCTTGTCCTCCTCCCCGCATCATAAGCTGTCAGTCCTGCCCTGGAATAACCTCAGTTGTTTACATGTCTGACTCTCACTCTCTCTCTGGAATGCGGTAGAAACTGCCCAGACATTTATAATGCCCAACATGGCTATCTCAGACCTTGCGTATAATACATAGTTCATACATGTTTGTCTGATTCCAACTGTGATAGAAATTCCAAAGCCACCAAGTGTCTGTTGAGCTTTTGGAAGAGCAGAGTGCGTGCTGCAGAGCCCTGGCCACACGCCCCAGAGGGATCCTCACTGCCCAGCTATTGAGCTCGAGGCCTCTGCTGTGGACGGGGAGTTTGGGGCAAACAAATGACTTTGGTGCTGGATCCCAACAGGTTGAATTTCTTGTTGTATTTTCAGAGATCTCCAGGAATCATAATCATAATTCATAGAAAAAAACAGTTTATTGTCAAAAGCTAGGGGTCCACCTTGCCTTTGGGGGCCCTGCAGTCCACATATTTTCTCAAAAGTGAAATAATAAACAGAAGAATAATGAATCTTATGTGTATAATTTGCCTTTGCTTTTGTGCAAGGGAGATCAGTGAAGCAGGAGGCTACCTGGCTTCTCTATGCCTCAGTTTCCTCATCTGTAAAATAGAGAGGATGATAATACCCACATCTTGGGGTCTTGTGAGGATTAAATGTATTTATACATATCAAGAGCTTAACAAATAGAGCTTTTAGTATTGTTAATATGTGCTTAATAAATGTTAGCAATTCTATTTTATTACCATTGATGCTGTGATGGACATTTTCCCATAAATAATTTTTATGATGTTGCTGGCACCAGAGAGACATAAACTCTCAGCTTCACTCAAGCTACTTTTCACTCTGAAGGAGCTTCAAGAAATATCAGCAATTTCAAACTTTTTTCTTTTACCACTGCCACTCTATCATGCTTGCACATGTCCGGGTCGTGCATAGCTGTGACCTGTCGTTCCTCACCCACATGACATCAGGTTTATTAGGCCACGCTGGTGTCATATGATTTATTTTGCCTCCACAGTTGATTGTAGGTATTAAAAAATAAGTGTGAATGGGAAGGAATAAAAATGTACTTCTTATTCCCGCAGTGCCCCATATCTGTGAGGCTGAAAATTGCAGTTCCATGGGTATTCTAAGGCAATTACCTCAACTGTACTTTTCTTTCTCTCTCGCATTTCAAAGGAACACGTGTCCAGAGGGCTGTCTTCTCCTTTAACGGTCTTGACGTTGTCACATTATACACAAGTGCAAAACTGTGACAATACCTCTTGCCCTGGCTGCCAACAGCAACGTGTAGGGACACGCCGAGGTTGTAAAGAGAGAATGGCCTCTTTATGGTGACGGGCTTGGAATTATAAATATTTTTATTTCTTCTGTAGGAGATGGCTCGTGGAAGAGAGGAGACAAACACGACTTTGAAGCTAAGCAGGCGTACTCGTCCCTTCAAACAGTCACCCTACTGAGGACAGTGAAACCTGAGTTTGAGAAGTTTTCCATGGAAGTGAAAAGTTCTGTTGAGAAACAAGGACTCAATGAGGAGGATTACGTAAGTCCTTGATTATGAGCCTAGAACTTCAGCATCCTGCAAACAGTCTTCTAATTAAATCAGAGGTGACAGAGTGTCCCATTCTGAGCCATTCAAAAATTCCTAGGTTCAGGTCTGAATGTCACTGCTGCCTTCTGTGTTGTTTTTTTTTTTTTCTGGCTGGTTTTCCTCCCTGCCTCCCCCATCATACCCCGTCACCCCCACCCTTCGATTACACTTTTTCAACTGCTACAGGAAGGAAAGTCGCTTTTTGTGGGCACTTGTGGTAATGCTGAGCAGAATGTCTGTAGACTTCCATCACGTATTTGGCTAGGAGGGTTTTGGGGGAGAAGATGAATGAAGTAGTGCCAAAGTTTTGCATGCCTGATTTTTCCAAAGCTTGGTGGTAGAAGATATTTGGAGTTTTAGGAGGCTCTTTCTTTTGGCAATCTGTCTTAGCTTATGGCCAGTCTGCTTCTGTCTTATGGATGGGGTTGTTGCCCTCTTGTGCTGTAAGCTGCTTCCTGCTCAACTGTTCCAGGGCTTTCCACTCCCTTAGTGCTGTTGTGACTAGTGGATTTTCTAAGAGTGGAAAGCTTAGACCAGGCTAAGGATTAAGCTGGGGGACTCATCTAAGAGGTGGCTTCTGACCACACTTCATTTGGTGCCATCATTTCGGCTGCCTCTGGCACCCTTTGCTGTGTGGCCACTGTGTCACTCCTGCAAGTCCTTTCTCAGAGCAGAGTGAACAGGGGGCTCCTTGGGCCAGTAGGGTAAGTGAGTTGGTTTTCAAAACTGTTCACTCTGCAGTGTCCAAAATAGAAAAGGAGCACCTTGTTAATGACAGGCATATGGCCGGATCGTCCCTGCCTGAGTTGGATAATGATCAGCTTCATAAGAGACAGTCACTTCCAAATAGGAGTTGTCCCTGTTTCTTCACTTGAAGTACCACACAGTCCTGGCATTGGCCTCAGACAGACCTGCATTCAGAGCCTGGATCTAGCTGTGTGACCTAGAACAAATTTTTCAATCTCCCTGATCCAAGGTGCTCCTTCTTGTTGTGCTCCTTCTTGTTGGGAGGATTATAGATAATTTATCTGAAGCATTTAGCACTATGCCTGTCAAAAAGTTCAAACTAAATAAATAGTACCTCTTGTGTACTATTGTTACAAGATTATAGCTGTCTTTACAGGAATGTGCTATCAAATGACATACAAATGGTCTTATAAACATACATATTAATGTTTTAAAATGTTATGTATATATTATACAACCGCATCATTTAAAATACCTTTTGGCTTTTTAAATCAGTGCTATCCGGTAGATGGATAATCTGAGTCACAAATGTGAGCCAAATTATGTAATTTAAAATTTCCTATTAGAAACATTTAAGAAAGTACAAAAAAAGCAGGTGAGATTAACAATATATTCTGTTTAACTCAAATATAAAAAATATTATCATTTCAACATTTAATCAATGTAAAAATTATTTATGAGATTTTTATATTCTTTTTGTTGTACAAAGTCTTTGAAATCTAGTGTAATTTTATACTTACAGCATTTGAGCCTTTGTTCAGATTCTTAGTAGCCATGTGTGACTACTTAGTAGCCACTGGTGGCTACCATATTGGACAGTGTGCTCTGAATTATGAAAGAAGTAGGGCTTCTGCAACAGAGCCAAGTTTAAGGAAATGTATAATAGTCTTGCATTGTCCAAATCCTTTGCCCCAGGAATATAAAAGAATACAAAGGCTATTGAACTTCCTTCAGCAGTGCTGTCAAAGGTGGCCTGTGCCAATATTGAAAACATTGAGCTTTTTTACATATGTCACTGTATATTATTTTATCTTATTAGGCTTACATTAATCGTGTGGTTTAAAAACTCAATAACGGTGCTGTTTTGTTTGGCTTCCTCCCTGAGGTTGTTGAAGTTTAACTATTTCAGCATATGTTGTCCAACATAATGATGCTCACGGGGCAAAAGTCAGCATCTGAACACACTACTGGGTAATTCTTCTTGGTCTTCAGTTCCTCTGTGTTCAGAATATTAAATCTTATTTTAATACTAGTCTAAGCAAAATCTCACTGGGAAGGTGTACCTACGACAAATACTCATATCACATTCTAAACCAAATACTAGCACTGTAGAGATTATTTGTAGCTGTAGAAGCAATACTGCTTCTCTCTGATGATGGGACTATTAAAACTGACTTTATAGATAAATATAAATAAATAGAAATTATAATTTTAAGTGTAAGTTAGAACTCATTATAATAACTTATTCCAGTTCTGGAGGTGTGTCTGTCTTTCATATGTATGTGGATTTTAGCTGGGCTATTTTAAGTGCCAGTTGCAGATGTTAGGAGGTCAGTTTAGACAGGTAGGTGTTCATGGTGAGTATTGTGGGAGAGATCTATAGGAGCCAAAGAGCAGGAGCCTGGTGTGGCTGGATCTTGTGGTACTAGACCTTGATCTAGTGCGGCAGGAGATGCTTCATAAGCGCCTGCGGTCTACACTCTGGGCTCAGCTCTTCTCTTAATTGCGCTAATGAGTTGTCCTGTCTGATTACTCAGAACTTCAGTTCACGACCCTCATCAGCCTCTGCTATTCACCTTGAACCCAGCAATTTTGGTGGACCCTCTTATTCATTCTAAAATTTACCATGCATTTTCTGAACAGCCACACTGCCTGGGAATAGTGACAGTTTTGCTTCTTTTAAATTTTTTTACTTTTAAGTATTTAAGTTTTATTAAAGTGTACTGAAGGAGCTGGGTATGGCGGCACGTGCCTGTAGTCCCAACTACTCAGGGCTGAGGCAGGAGGATCGCTTGAGCCCAGGAGTTCAAGTCCAGCCTGGGCCACATAGTGCGATCCCATCTCAACATAAATAAATATATAAATGAAATAGTTTTAAAAAGTGTGCTTACATATGTATACTTAATTAAATTTAAGTATTAAGTGTATTGAATTAAGATTAAGTGTAATTCATTAAATTACAACTTTTAATGGTCCTGACTAGGATCCAAATACAGCATTAAATATAGGCAGTGATAGTGGACATATTCACTTTAAAATGAAGAGCATATAACACTTCATATCTGTTTCATATCACTACTTAAGCATGATGTTTGCTGTGGGGTTTTGGGGAGAGTCTTCATTAGATTGTGGAAATTCCATTTAATTGGTTGTTAGTGAACTTTATTTTGGCAAAATCACACTTTCTATTAGGATAATTGAAACAAACATAGCACAACAAGCATCAAGGTTTGTATAATGTAGGTTAAAGAAAGGCTCTAGAAATAGGTTTTTATTTTAGGCATTCTACATTGCACGCTATCACTGATTCTATTTCCTATATGTTAGCATCACATTCATCATATTATCATGTCAGCATCCTTAGAAAGGTCATGACCTTTTCAAAATGCAAGAATTCGAAACTTTAAAATTTTTACGGGCTATACTGAAGCTTTGGGAGGATGGAGTAGCAATGATTTTTTTTTTAGTAAAATTAAATTAATATTAAAATTTTTGATTTACCAAATTTTGATGGGTTAATGCAATTTTGTTTCTATAAAATGGATCTCTTCTCTCTCTCTCTCTCTCTCTCTCTCTCTTCATCTTTTGTTCTTTCTCTGTCTTTTTTTTCTTTTTAGAGAGGGGGTCTTGCTCCAGCTCAGACTGGATGGAGTGCAGTGGCATGTAGTGGCTCACAGCAGCCTGGAACTCCTAGGGCTCAAGCAATCTTTCCACCTCAGCCTCCTGAGTAGTTGGGATAACAGGTGTGCCAGGTGTGCCATCACACCTGGCTCTCTCTGTCTTTTTTAAATTGACTTTTTAATTGAGATAATTGCAGGTATACATGCAGTTTTAATGTACAATACAGAGAGATTACATGTATACATTGTCCAGTTTTCTCCAATGGCAACATTTTGGAAAATTATGTGTACGATCTCAATCACTAGTTGACATTGACATTAATACATTGATACAATATACTGAACATACTCTAATTTCCCCGATTTTACTTATATGCATGTGTATATTATGTTTTATCACCTGTGTATATTTGGGTGTTTGACTTTTATGAAATACCTTTTCTATATCTGTTGTGGTAATCAGATAGTTTTTCTTTATTCTGTTATAAAGTTATAATGTGGTGAGTTGTGTTAAAATTCACATGATTTATAAATTTAGAAAGGAGAGCTTTATTTCTTAAGAAGGGGATTACAACCTACAGGTGGGAAGTCCAGCCTCCAGCTGGAAAAACCAAAAGCAAGTACTGTGAAGGAGGGAGGAGTAAGATGGGAGTTTATGCTGAACAGGTTGGCCAAGCATACATAATTAACAGGATGTAGGAGGGGCCATGAATATTCATGAAAGGGGGGTCGTGCACATGCATAATAAACGAACATGCATGTTACATGTGCCTCATGTATACTGTGGAATGGAGACTTAACATTTAAGTGCATTATAATTAGGCCCTATGTGTCAAAGGTCTTTTCAGGACATAAACTCAGGTGTGCAGCCTCTATAAAACCGGCCAGAACCAGTCCATGGTCAGTGGTCTCTTATCAGGGGAAAGTTACAAAAATCAGTCTCTCGTGCAGTCAAAGCTGTAGTTATGGCTTGTGGGACAGGGGTTCGGTTAGTCAGTGTCTGGTGGCTGGTGAGCTGCCATTGCTTATCTCAAGGCTGGTGCTTGTTTAGCTGCTGGAGAAAAAGGGAAAAAAATCCTGTGGCAATTTGAACATAGTTTATTCTTTAAGTGTAGGGGTGTGTGACTTAACCCTTGCCTGGCATGGCCTTACGTCCTATTTAGGAATTGGTATCATATTGCCACAAAGAGTCCATTACACCCGTCTTATGATCTCAATTTGGACATTAATGCTGGTCAGTTGTGTCTAAAGGAGGCTCGTCTGCCCTCTCGTCCCCGTCATGGCCAGGAACTTCATTTCTAAGATTTCTCTGGGGTCTTCTTGGCCACGAGGGGGTCTGTTCAGTGGTGTTGGGGGCTTAGGATT